TTTCGCTCCTTTCCAACCATTCGCTGGCCCCTGTGGCTCCTGCAGCCATCTCTGAGCTGGGACATGTGTTCTGAGCAAGGTACCATGGCCAGGCACCTTTTTAAAGGGACAGGAGAAATTGGAAAAGACCCGGACTCCAGAGTTTGCAAAGCTCGAAACGAGATAAACAGGACACTTTTATATGCAAGAGACAGCTGTAAGTCTCCGACTTACCTTTCATTTAATTCTTCAAAATTGAGTTCGAACTGCCTCTTATTTGTGGTCCTAAGAATGGGGGACGAACGAGGGCCGGATTCCCCGCCCATCGCTGACCTGAGGCTGCCTCGCCTTTGCGAGAACACAGAGCGGGGCGCGTGTCTTGTGGGAGGCAGGTCCCTGGCGGCAGTCAGGGCGCGGCTCTGGTCTCGGCCTCGCCCCAAGCCCGTCATGGAAGGCCTCTGTCCTCGTTGTCACCCGTCCCGTGGTGTGACAGGCCGGGGACGGGTGACTGTGCAAGCACGCTGCGTGAGCTCTCACTGTCACTGGAGTGGCCGGGCTGTGCCATGGGCCTTTCACGTGGGGCAGTTGCAGGGAGGCCCAGGTGGCTGGGACAAGGCACGTGGAAGCTGAGGTCCGGGGACAGAGCGAGGCCCAGGCGGCAGGACGGCAGGCAGCGCCCTCCCTGAGCGCCGAGGCGTCTGACGGTTCTTCTCTCCCTCGTCCTCGGGGCGCTGGCGTTTCCGGCCCGGCGGGAGCTCCTCTTGGCAGCAGTCGGCCCCGCTTCGCCTGGGGGGCCCTGGTCTCCCGTTCCCAGGACAGGCTGTCGTGAGTGACGCCCCTGGACTGGCTGCCCACGGGGGAAAGCAGGGACCTGGAGCCCCCCGGGATCGCAGAAGGAAAAGAGGCACCGCCACAACAGCTCTTCCAGCTCTGCGGCAGACGGAAGCCCTCGCTGAATACAGGAAGTTTGTTAAGATGCGCACGCACGCGCACGCACGGGCACGCACGCACGTATATACGCACGCGCATGCACGCGCACGCGCACAGTCCTGTTCACAGTTTAATCATAGGATTTATTCGAAAAGTGCTTGAATTCGTGCTACGCTACTGTGAGGTGCACACAGGTCTAAAATGAAAGTTCCCGTCTTTCTTCGGGCTTGTCAGAATGTCTCCGTCACTGAGCGAGTGTCCTCGTTCGAAGATGCCATCCCGGGTCACCGTTTGGGGCCTCTGGGGATGACCGGACTTGACCAGAAGCCCCCACACCGCCTTCTACACACCAGGCTGTGCATTCTCCCCCCGCCCTCCCCACACTCCCTGACCCCAGCTCCACCTCATAGCTCATGGGCCCTTCTCCTGGGTCTGGCCGCCCACGGGGGTGCTGGGGACAGCAGGAGTGGCAGGGCAGGGGAGGTGGGGGCCGGGCGCTGAGGAGAGCTGCCCCCAGCTTCTCCTCTAGGCAGGAGGCTGGTGAGGGCCTGGGGGGAGGGGCCGTGAGCGTCGGGGGGAGGGCATGAGACGATATCGGTAGTTTTGGTGGCTTTAAATTAAGGATGGATTTGTTAAGAAAGGAACAGGGGCCATCATCTCTTACCTGGGAAGGATTTTATGATTAAAAGTGTCCCTGCATTTGGGTGACGCAGGGGAGTCCTAAGGAAGCACTTCCATTATGGGCACCCCAAAAAAAAAAAAAACCCTGAAAACCCAAGTCTCAACAAGATACTGTTCATTGTTCATTTTCTGGGTTAGAGAGGCAGAAATAGAACATAATTGAGCAAAGTGGAAGACGTTGCTTCTTGAAATGCCCTCCAGCTCTCTTTCGCTTCCCTCTTTGGAGAGAAACAAGGATAGAGGAAAATGAGTTTAAGGAAAACAGCGGTGCAAATGTGACGATGGATGCTAGGTCACCCCAAGCCCGGGGTCGGGGGACAGTCAGGGTGGTGGGGACCGCAGCAATCCAAAGCGTCTATGCAGAGATTTGCCGCTGCGCAGCATGAGTTGCCTGTAGCCACCCGAGCACACGCAGCTCCTGAGTGCTGGACACAAGCCACAGGTCTTTTTTCTTTTAATGAGATATCTCCTAAGTCAAATCCCCAAAATTTAAAAACCGTGTGGGCCAAAGGCAATGGACCCGCAAGGCGTACATCCTCCGCTCTATACACAGAGATCTTCCTGCTCCGACCTTGTCCTGTCTATTGAGGTCAGGTGAGGACACCCCGCTAGCAAGCAGAAGGACGCACCGGGGACCTATGTCCATCGCCTGCCAGCCCTCAGATGCTCTGCGTGGGCGAAGCAAGGCCAGGAACAGAGTCGTGATGGCTGCAAGGGCCCCGGCCAGGTCTTTCCAGCTCGCAGCTCCCTCAGCAGCCCCCGACCCCGAACCCATCACAGCCAGCGAGCAGATTTATCACTCCAGGCGGCTCCTCACTCCTGGCAAAGGATGGCATGACAGACGGGGATAGAGTCGTTAGCCAAAACAGCCTTCCTGATTTAAAAAATCTCATTTCCCCCTGGGGCTGCCAAATTTAGCAAAGCACCATTCCAGCTGCAGCGCCTCCAAGCCATCCTAGGTGATCATCAATCAGTCTGCCTCCCAAGGAGCGCTCCCAAAAATCGCCTCCAAGCACCCACTTCCCAAGCGCCCTGATTACCCGAACAAGGCCCAGGAGGCCTGGGGGGCACCTTGGGTCCGACCCTCAAGGCAGCTTACTCTTTGCCATTAGAAGAGCGAGGAAAAGGTGGCAGGCTCTAGTGGTCGGGAACCTCATGCTCTCGGGGAAGAACCGAGGGGCCTGGGGACATTCAGCCGGACAAGAGACGAGTTGCAGACAGGTCACTGGGGATGAGCGGAGGGACATGAATTGCCTTCAGACACCCCAGGGCACATAGAGAGGGCGTAGCTGTCCTCTGCCTGGCACCTGCCTGCAGAGCGACTGCGGGAAAATCACGTTTAGCTCCACGGGAGGAAAATGATTCATCCCCTTTAGGGCTATGTCTTTAAAAAATGGTTTAACTTTTGATTTTAAAAGGATTTCAAATTTACAGAAAAGTAACGAGAATAACGCTAAGAAACTCTCAGTATCCCGTACTCCGATTAGCAAACTAACATTTTGCCACATTTGCTTTAACACCCTTTCTCTGCGCATGATTATTATTTTTCTGACACGTCTTGCTCCTTTATCTCTAAATGTATGCCCTTCCCAAGAATCAAGATGTTCCCTTACAGAACGATAATTATCAAAATTGTTATCAAATTGTACAATTATCGAAATCAGGAAATCTGACTTTGCTATGATACTGTTATCTAATCTATAGACCCATAGTCGAATTTCTCCAGCTGTCTTAATAACATCCTTCGTTTTCTGCCCTGGTCCAGGACCCGGTGCAGGATGGCGTCTCAGCCGTCCGGTCTCTCTTTAGTTGCCTTGAATCTGGACTGTCCCCTCATTTTCCTTTGCCTTTCATGATACATTTTCAAAGTGGTTTTGAACGTTCCTTTGGGTTTGTCTGATGTGTCCTCATGACCAGATTCAGGCCGCCCATTATTCGCAGAAATCCTGCGTGAGGGCCATCTCGGAAAGAAGTGACTGGGGTTGCTGGAGCTCGTCACCCCCCGGTCTGGTCGGCCAGGAGGGAATTCTCCCTTCGGACGCTGAGTTTGCCGCATCCAGCGTCTTCCTGGGTTCTGTTCACGCTGGGACTCAGCGATTCTCTCCCCACGAGGTGACTTCCGTCGGGTTTCGGAACGGCCAGTCAGCTCGTCCTTCATCTGCTTCTCTGCTTTCCTGCCCCGGCTTTGCTGAGACTCGCCTTCTGGGTAGATTTCAGGGCCCTGCCGCGGCTCAGCCGTTCACATCCCGTGTTGTCCTCTGGCAGTGACAGGGAGGACGGGGAGCTCGGGAGAAAGGCCGCGTGCAAGGCTCGCCTGGCTGGCCTTCCCTCCGCCTGCCCCTCTGTGCAGGGCTGGATTGCATTTACTTAGGGAGCCAAGGACCCCCCCGCAGGGCAAGGCCACTTTCTTTACTTTTCTCTGTCTGGCTCCGCCCGCAGCCGCTGGCAGCCCTCCACCGTCTTCCTACAGCAAGTGCAGAAAAGCCAGGGGCACGGGACTCAGGGAGGACGAAGCTGTGAAGGGCGTTCGGGAAAACTAACGCATGCGAGTCTTGCGGGAGAGGCCCTGCTGGGTAGGGTTGTGATTCTGGTACTGCCAGAGCGGTATTTCTTTTTTTCATCTGTTATTTTCAATCTTTTTGTGTCTTTGTATTTAAAACGCATCTCTCGTAGGCAGCATGTCACCGGGTCTTGCTTGTACAGCCCATCTGACAATCTCTGGTTTTTAATTGAAGCGTTTTCTTCATTTGTATTTAATGTAATTATTGATAATGGTTGCATTTAAATCTATCGTCTTGCTATCTGTTTTCTACTTATGTCTTCCGATTTTATTCTTCCGTTGCTTCTTCCCTACCTTTTTCGAGTTAATGTATTATTTAGTGCTCCATTTTATTTCCTTGATTGACTTCTTAGCCTCAACTCTATATTTTTAGTGTTTTTTTTTTTTCTAGAGCTAACACTATGCTGTCGTTTATATTGTCATGAATGTTATATTTTCATGAATAATCCTGCGCTTATTTCTCCTTTCTGGGGAGAGGAGTCGTGTCTCATCGTCGTTCATTCATTCATTCATTCATTCAACAAATTAGTATTAAACATCTATGAAGCAGCATCTCCGTCTAGGTATTGAAAGTACCGCTGTGAACAAGACAGTTCTGAAGCCCACAGTCCTCTGGGGGAAATAGGTAAGCAAGAAGAAAAGCTTGCCCAGAGGCAGGACGTCTGGATTGAGCCTTGAACGCTGAGCAGGGATCGGGGAAGTGAGGGGACGGATGTCAGGCTGCTCGGGTTGTGGTCAGGGAGCGCAGAGAGCCAGGGGCGGGAGTGACCGACGGTTATTCCGGGAGCAGGAAGGCATCGGCACGGTGGGCGGTGCGGTGCGCGGTGGTGCGGATGGAGGGTGTGGTGCGATGCGGACAACGGGCAGGTGGGTGGGACGAGTGGGGAGTTCCTGTCTGGAGCGTCTAATCTCCTCGCTGAATTAGGAGCCGAGGGCTGGGCCTGTGCTGCTCATGTAATTCATATCCACTAACTTAATGGCGAGGACATTTGGAACAGAATCGCTGCCTATAAAACGTGCCCCTCCCCCACCAGTTTTCACTTGGGGAGATTTGCTTTTTCTGGAGCGAAGACATTTTGATGCTCAAGTTCTATTGCAAGAAAGAATAAATTACTGTGTAGCAGCGCTGCTTGTAACATAATATGAACAAGGGGTTTTGCAGGGATATTGGGCACGTCGGTCTCCCTGCATCTAGGCCGCTCAGATGAGAGGGTGCCACTGCAAAAGGTGTCCTCTCCACTCGGGCTGCGAGTTTTCCTAGGGGACAGTGGTCCCAGCAGCGGGGGGATTGTGCCCAGATGTGCCTGGTCCAGGGAATGCTGACAGTCTCTGACCCTTGAATATAGGGACAGGGGATGTGGATGCACAGGCTCCGGGCATCTGAGAGAACTAGGAAGGGTATATGTGTGTGTGTATGTGTGCACATGTGACAAACTTCTCTCTGGGTCACACTAAAACAGCAAACCTGCCACCCTGGGGCTCTTTTGCCAGGCTGGGAGTCACACTGGTCATGGGCCGGCACCCAACGGAAAGTCCATAATAGGGTTTCTGCACCCAGTCAACTCAGAGTGGGGCAAAAGGGGAACCGAACGCCCTTGCTGACGAGGAAGCTTCAGCATGGAGTTGAGGGACGTGGTGGGACTTCTGGCCACATCCCCCATGAATGCAGATGCTAAGTGGTGAAGCCAGGTCTGAGGGGCTGGAGCGAGGGAGCCGGCCACGTGGAATAAAGGGGGCCCGATCCCATCGCAGAGCTCCCCATCTCTCAGTGAACCTTCCTCTGTCTCTCTGCTGCAGAGTGAAAGTGTCCCTAGGCCAAGAGCCCAGGGCTCCAGACTGCCATCAGCATCTGGACCGGCGAGGCCACCAGAGATGCTTCACAGAGAGATAGGACCCCAGCCTGAAAACCATGACCCCTGTGAGACCCTACGCAAGGCGAGCCAGAAGGAGGATTGGTGGGAAGGCCAGCCCATCAGGACCGTGGGTACTGTCTCTGCTTCCCATGCTGCTCTATATGCCTTTTGTCCTTTCTTCTTTCCATCCATCCACCCATCCAACATCCATCATCCATCCACCCATCAATCATCTATCCATCTTCCATCCACCCATCCAACATCCATCCATCATCCATCCATCCATCCATTCATCCATCTGTCTGCCTACTCACCCACTTATCTATCCATGCACCCACCCACCCATCCATCCACCCACCCATCCATCTACCCATCCAACATCCATCCATCATCCATCCATCTACACATCCATCCATCATCCATCCACACACCCATCCACCTACCCATCCATCCATCCATTCATCCATCCGTCTGCCTACTCACCCACTTATCTCTCTCCCCCCGCCCTCCCCAATTGGGCAATCCAACATCCATCCATCTATCCACCCATCCAACATCCATCCATCATCCATCCATCTACACATCCATCCATCATCCATCCACACACCCATCCACCTACCCATCCATCGATCCATCCATTCATCCGTCTGCCTACTCACCCACTTATCTATCCATCCACACACCCACCCATCCACCCACCCACCTACCATCCATCCATCATCCATCCACACACCCATCTACCTACCCATCCATCCATCCATCCATCCATTCATCCATCTGTCTGCCTACTTACCCACTTATCTATCCATCCACCCACCTACCCATTTACCCACCCATCCATCCATCCACCCACCCACCCATCTACCCATCCAATATCCATCCATCTATCCACCCATCCAACATCCATCCATCATCCATCCATCTACACATCCATCCATCATCCATCCACACACCCATCTACCTACCCATCCATCCATCCATCCATCCATCCATCCATTCATCCATCTGTCCAGCTACTCACCCACTTATCTATCTACCCACCTACCCATTTACCCACCCATCCATCCATCCACCCACCCATCCATCTATCCATCCATCCATCCATCCATCCATCCATCCATCCATCCATCCATCCACCCACCCATTATTCATTGATCGACCACTCACTTCTTAATCCCTCCCATCTTTTGGTGAGAGACCATAGCTAATGTTTAAGGAGATATGCCGCAGCCCCTGTTAAATGAGGTGTTGGCACCACACAGACACAATAGATCCCCATAACTTAAAAAGCACAGATACTAGTAACACTCAGTAAAACAATTAGGAAGTGATGAGTTTTGAGTACTTATTGCCTTTGTCTTGAATATAATTTATGTAAATTTATGTAATTTAATTTTTAATATTGCCTATGTTTAACAACTGACATGCAGAATTCCTCAAAATTTAACAACCAGCTCTCACAAACTACATGAACTGGTTACATGAACTGGTCCCACCACACTGCCACTCAGGGGGCTGGCAGGAGCAGGTCACAGGCTCTGCGCGTGGTTGCAGTTGTCACTGTGGTTAAGAACTCGAGCTGGGGAATGGGTGCAGTGACCCCACACGTCTCAGCTGTCTGAGGCTGGCACGCGACCCCCTGGAGCTGGGGACTGACTGCGGTGACCCCACACGTCTCAGCTGTCTGAGGCTGGCACCCGACCCCCTGGACGACGCGAGGCTGCTTTCGCCACATTTTCCTGGCTCGCACCCATGATGGTTAGAGGCTATCAGCACACGCTGACTGTGGACACGCTGCCCCCACTGTCACCTTATGACTCGTCCAGCTCCAATGCCAAAAGGTACCAGGATTCGCTTGGGTCACCTCGAGAGATGGGCCGAGATTAGGCAGGGGCCTGTGAGCCGGTTTCCTGGGAGGGGAAGTTGACACCCATGGGCCCCGGTGACCCTTCTCAGCGGCTGCTCTCTGAGGCGGGGCTGGGCTGACTGGACTCAGTGGTCCACTCTCCGGAGGGGTGAGGACTGGGGAGGGCAGGTGGGGAGAGAGGACTACTTAGGGGCTACGGCCCGAGGCGCAGGACCATCCAGCCCGGACGTCGCTGGCTTGTAGGCGCTCTCTGCCAGGACCACGGTGGCTGGAATTCCACTTTGCTCTGTGCTGACCGGACCCCGCCTGGGCTGGCATCGTGTTTTGTTTCCTCGAGTTCTTTTAGATACGTAGTGTGATCTTGTCACATCGATATAAAAACCTTCAATGGCTTCCCGTGCATTGGGAATGAAATCTAAGCCCCTTTCCATGAGCTGGGGCCCTGCCCTGCCTCCCAATGTCAAGGCAGCCCTCCCCCTTCACTCACCTCCCTCCCTCCCCCTTCACTCACCTCCCTCCCTCCCGCTTCACTCACCTCCCTCCCTCCCCCTTCACTCACCTCCCTCCTATCCCACTGGCCTTTCAAACCTTTGAAATGGACAAGGTCCTTCCTGCCCTGGAGATTTTTCTTGACTCCTCCGTTGCCTCTGTGTTGGACGGGAACTGGTCTTGTGTCAGCGACGGGCAGTGGGGGCAGGAAATGAAAGCCTGGGAAGTGCCCGAACGCCAGATCCCAGCCGAGCTCGTGTTCAGGCTTCGCCTCCCGCCCCTCCCACCTCCCACCTCCCACGCAGAGTCACCGCTGCTCGTCTGGACACCACCGCCAGGGGCGAGTCGTAGGAAGCTCCCTCGCAAGGTTTGCCATTGGAGTGGCTTCAAGCAGCAAGTGGGAATGTGGACCCTGGTTTTCGACCTCTTCCTCCTGCACAGGTTTAAATCCTTTGAGACGAAGAGGTAGAGAGGGCGGGGCCCGAGAAAGCCTCTCTGGGCCGAGCCGTCTGGAAAGTCCAGAGCACCCGTGTTCTGATGGACGTCGTGGCCAACATCCTGTGCATCGTCATGGCAGCTATAGGGCCGGTGAGTGGGGCCCCCCTTCTGCCTCGTCTCCCAGGCCCCCAGACTGACAGAGAATGCCATTCGTTACTTCCTCTACGAGCTGGTGGGTTTAACACGTTGTCATTATCTCCGAGCTCCTCGGGGGCGAATTTTCATAAAGCTAATCCTTGCCAAGCACAGCAGCCGCCACCGAAATTAATTAAAAAGTTCACCTCGTAAAGTCAGCTCGTGACTGCATCCGAGGCCCCCTACCCCAACCTCAGCCCCGAGGGGTCCTCTCCCCTCCCCACCGCGTTACAGACGGTTCTCACTCACCAAATCCTCCAGTGCCTCCAGGAGTGTCTGGGTTGGCATGGCCTGCGCGTAGCCCTGTTTGCCACTGTCCTCTTTACCAAAGTCCTCTTTCGGGCCCTCGCCTGGGCCATTAACTACCGTACGGCAATCCGGTTGAACGTGGCCGCCTCCACTCTGGTTTTCCAAAACCTGCTGTCCTTCAAGATGCTGACACACATCTCAGTTGGCGAGGTAAGCCGGGCCAGAAGGAGTTTAATTTAGAAAACCGAATCCCGAGCCTTCCGAATATGTGTGAAGTGTGCTTCCTGGGTGGAGCAGCTGCCTCTCTGCTGTTTGCCGATGTCCTGCCATGACGTCCCGTGTCCCTGCTAAGCGAGGTGGCGGAGACTCGAACGCTGGAGGATTCAGAGCCAGGGTGGGGGGCAGGGCTCCCTCCACGCTGGAGAATTTGGAAAGTCTTCGCCGTTCCCGTAAGGCCTGGGGCGACCGCGTCCCGTCCCTTTGGGTGACAGTGGGGACATGGAGGCAGGATGGGGCACCATATCTGACTGAGCATGCTGATTGTGTAGCGTTTGGGGTGCCAACGTCACAAAAAGATGATGCCTGCTGGACTTCAGAATCGACATTTTCTCAAGCCCTTAGTCCTTAAGATGAAACCCTCACCATTTATACAGGAAAATGTCCCCAGTCAGGGGAACCCCTTGGGTGACAGTGGGGACATGGAGGCAGGATGGGGCACCATATCTGACTGAGCATGCTGATTGTGTAGCGTTTGGGGTGCCAACGTCACAAAAAGATGATGCCTGCTGGACTTCAGAATCGACATTTTCTCAAGCCCTTAGTCCTTAAGATGAAACCCTCACCATTTATACAGGAAAATGTCCCCAGTCAGGGGCCCCCCAGGTGGTGGTGTCAGTTAAAAAAAAAAAAAAAAGACTCACTTCTTTCCTACAGTTTCTCCTTCAGTGTGTGCAAAGCATCCTGTATCAGTTCTGGTCAGATTCGAGCGCGTATACCAGCAACCCCTACATAGCGATGGATTGAACAAAGAGGTCAGTCCAGGGCCAGTGTGGGGACTTCCGGATCCTCCTGTCTTTCTCCATCACCGTCCTGGCACGTGTCACCTATAACGGGTCCCACCATGTTTCAGGCAGCTGGCCGGGGCAGGAAGCAGAGGAGAACCCCAGGGGTACGTCCTCTCAGCCGAGTTGGCTCCCTTTGGGTCCGGCATCCCCGGAGTCCCTTCTGACACTGCGGCTTGGGTCTCATTGCCCTTGAAGCGGCCACGCCTCTTCCATGAAGGAGGCTGGGGAACGCAGTCTATTAGCCGAGCACCTGGCTGCCCTGAACAAGGCGGAGCCGTGGTATTTGGGAAGGGCAGACAGGCACAGGTGGGCAGCCAGCGTCTCCCCGGCACGCTCCTGGGCGGTACCGTACCTCTCTACGTCTTTCTCCATTCGGATTCTCAGTCCTAAAAGGCGGACCTCTTCAAAGTCAGACCAGAATGAGACCCACAAGACCCATCGCGTTGGTCCCCTTCCGCTGGAAGGCGGCTTTTCCCTTCTACCCTCAGATTCCCCCAGCCGTCGGGAAAGCCTTCAGCTGAGAAAATGTTTGGGTGAGCCTCCCCGAGCCTGAACCCCTGCGCTTTGCTTCCAGGTGCTCCATATACTATCGAACGATAGCTACTCCTGTTCGCGGCCGCCTTGTTTTGCCCCTTACCAGCCACCATCCCTGCCCTAATGGCTGTTTGCGCAGCGCACGCCTTTCTCATCGGCACCTCTGTGCGCGTCATATCCAGCCCCATCCAGGTTGTGGCGGGTCTAGGCGAGTGTTGTCGCTCGTGCCTGTGTGTCTCACCGAGTTATAACAAAGGCTGCATTTCCGGGGCTCGGACCTGGAGCCCGTGCCCCCACTTCGCGCCCACAGAGGTGCTTTTTTTCCTTGGCACAGTGTAGTTTTTTAAAAACTTGCACTTGAATGCTCTGGGGGAGGGAGGGTGTGCTTCTCCAGTTTATCAAAAGTCCCCCCACCACACACACACAACACTCCTTTTGCATCCTGGTGATGCATGAGTTTGTATCACCTGCCCATTCCCTGGCGACGTCCCCCAGCCCACGCCAGCTGCCATGACTCAAGGTTAGGACTTAGCCAGGAAGCTCAGGCTAACTGCCCTTAGGACCCTTCCTGGCACTTACGGGCCAGTCCCTGGGTGGTTAGGCCGACTGCAGCTCAGCAGTTCTCCCTGACCACGTGTTCATACCTAGATTTCAGATGTTTATGGCTAAACTCAATTCAGCCTTCCGAAGATCAGCAATTTTGGCGATGAGACAAGCGGATTCAGACAATGAATGAGTTCGTGACCTGCATCAAGCTGATTCAAATGTACGCCTGGGAGAAGTCTTTAACCAACACCATCCGAGGTAGGACGAGCAGCAACTTAAGGAACCAGCCTCGGAATGTGCTCTTCTGAGGGTTCTTGGGCAGGCGTTTTAGAAGAGGTTGGGGGGGCTCTGAGTTGCTCTGCAGGCTTTCCCCAGGATTACAGAGAGTTTACAGTAGAACCAGGCATCTGTTCTGGTGAATCCAAGGGCTCGACAGGTGAGCGCCATGTGGTTTGGCCTTGACTGGGACATACGGATGCTGGTGCTGACCAGTTACCTCTTACAAAAATAATACACTAAAGCATTGCGAGCGGAAAAAAGCCGCCTCATGATAGCTCCTTGACTTAGAGGCTGTCTACACGTGCACATGCACACGTACACGCACACGCACACGCACATGCACACACACACATAAATCCCCTCCTTGCCTGCAGCAGCCCCATCATCATTGGATGACCCTCTGCCCCGACATGCCTTGCACAGGTATGAGGATGCATAGATAGCTTTTCTTTTTAAAGATAATATTAAAAGCATTTCAATCAACTATAAATGCAAATCTAATAGCAGGAACATTTGCATAATTGCTGACACAGACTCAGGTGGTTGGCTGGCTGATGACCTGAACCACTGCTACTGTTGGCTTTCTAGGTCTGCAATTACACTTTTAGACCAGACGTAACCGGCCCAGAGCTGCAAGTCTACATTTCAGGGAGTGGCTTTAGAACACGTGCTTCCCAGCTCTCCGAAGGCAGTGGCCCGGGTTGGGACACTGGCAGCCCAGAGGGACCCTCTCGGAGGACCAGAAACGCTTCCTCACACAGGGAGCTCGCTCCAAGACGACCGATTTGATTTGCATAAATTTGGTTGCGTTCAATTGAATGCAATTTCACTCCATTTAAAACAAGTCAGATTAAGTCAATAAACACGTACTAAGTTCCCACTGTGTACAAAGCCATGGGGGTGACGCACGTGACCAGGAACAGAATCCCAGCTTTGAAGACTAAAGGGTGAGCTGTCCAAGCTCGAAAATAGCTCTACGTTTGTCAGCTCCACATCCGGAATCTATTTGGGGTCCGTTCCTCTTCATTTTACTGCAAAGCCCCTCCTTTCCTCCTTCCCCCTAAAATCCATATGCACTCAGTGGCCCTTGTGACCTTTACAAATGCCAGTCACATCCTGTCCCTCCCCTGCTGGAAAACCTTTAGTGGCTTATTCTCACTCTTAGATTATTCAAACTTAAGACTTATGCGTGAAATCCGACCCCTCACATGGCCTGTTATATCCAGGACGATCTGGGGCCTCTGAGCATGCTGACCGCTCACACTTTATCCTCTCTGGACTGACAGAGACTAGGGGATCAAACTTCCCACCATTTTGGTGAAAATCCCAAAGCAAACTATAGTAAGATGTTGCTACCCCTGTGCCAACCCGTGATTCCTGAGCCATGGGATGAAAAATGTCCCTGTGAGGACCCCAAACGGGCCACCGGTTCTCAGCTCCGGAGTTCGGTCCCGGTGTGATGCTCCCGCCCTCTCTCGGTCCAGGCATTTGCGCGATCGCCACGTTTAACGTGATGAAGTTCTCACTCGCGATCTCGCCTTTCTCGGTCAGAGCGGTGGCCGAAGCCAGCGTGTCTTTGAGAATGAAGGTACAGCTGACGCTGGGTGAGGAGGGCAGGGGGATCTCGTTTCCAGGGGAGGTTCCCAGATATGGGGGCGCTGTGTCAGCCCGTCGGAGGGCTGGGTCGCGCCTTGGTGGCCGTGGGGAGAAGGCCCGCCCTGTGGGGTCCGGTCCATACATGGGCGTGGAGGAGGGAACAGGCAGTGTCATCAGTGGTCTGCCCTCTGAGGAAAGTGACTCTGAGGACAGAGTCTCTGAACAGAGAGGCCATATCCCTGCCCCCCGCTCTTTATCCAAGCTGAAGTCTTAAGTTGTTCCGGGCGTGGGGTCGGGTTTGCACCGAGCTATTCCAGCTGCGCCTCCCTAGTTTGTCCCATGATGGGCGTGGCGATGGGAGTGATGACGAGGGTGGGGGCCCCCCATCTGCGCACTGCTCAGCTGCTTTGTCCAGCTGTGTCCTTCCCGTACACAAGGCACCGCGGGACATGCAGACACAAGGAAGGAGAGAGGCTTTGCTCTCCAGAGCCTCAGTCTAGCATAGGACCAGGTGCCCCCGTAACTGCCGCATGAGGAAGTGAGTGACAGGCCGGAAGGGCCGGTGACGTGCTTGTGAGGTTGCGGTGAGGACAGGAACAGGAGGAGGGCCTCCAGCCAAGAACAGCACGCTCACGCATCCGCGGACCGATTGAAAGATGTCACTCAAGCCAGAAATCTGGAAGTCGCCCAAGCCTCCCAGCTGTCTGCAGCCTTCTTCTCCCTTGCCACGTGCACCCAAGCTGCCAGGAGCCCTATGGGCTCATCTCCAGGTGGCTGGATCCCCTCGATTTTAAGAGGTACCGTTTGTGAGACTGAGTAGGAGGCACACTGGAGAGTTACCGCTTTTTAAACCAAACACAAGACTCAGCGCTGCCACGTTAATTATAGGTGTTATCGGGAATCTCAGACTAGCGGGACGAGGCTGTGTCTCGACTTCTCAGCCTCCACTCTGACCCCACCACCGTCACCGTCATCAAGGCCTCACCGCCCCTCACCTGAACCATCACGGTGGCTACGGACCCCTTGTCCCTTTCTAACACTGTCCTCCTCCAAGTCACATTTCACTCAGCACCCAGAGAGCTCTTAAAATATTGGTCTGACTACCGATATTCACCTGCTAGAAATCCTTGAATCCTCGTCCCCTCCAGGAGCGAGGCCGAGACCCCCATCACGGGTCCTCAGCTATGTCCCCACCTCATTCCCTGTACCTTCCGGCCTTGAGCTCTGGGCCTCGGCAACCCAGTATTTCTCGTTTCGTGCCCCCAGGCCGACCACCCACGCTGTTGCGTGTTCCCTTGCCTTTGCTCACGCCGTGCCCCGTAGCAGAAAGCTCTCGTCCCTCTCCCCTCCGTCACCTTTGCCTGCACAGCCTCTGTACAGACTCAGCTCAGGTATCAATTACACGGACCTTCAGAATGGGGAGCCACGTGTGCCTTCGCTGGCTGGTACGGTGCTCGGTCCCTGTCGCATTTCATTGAAATGATCGGTGCACGTCCCAGCTCTCCCGGGACTGTCATCTCTTCAGTGTGAGAACACCTTCTCACATTTGCTTTTCTGCCGTGTACCCCGGAATCCGGTGCTGAGCGAGCACTGGGCAAATGTTTTGTGGAGCCGAGCGGAGTGGGATGCTAGGAAGCGGACACGGCGGAGGATGAGCACGTGAGCCTGGTCTCGTAAGCATCAGCGCCAAGCACCGAAGCCCACCACCCAGAGACGGGCAGAAGCTGGCTCTCTAGGGCGCGAGGGTGAAGTGTCGCCGGCATCAGCGTTCTCCACGCGGGTGACCCACATAGGCCTTGCGTTTAAGGAGCCGTCTGTCCCAGATAGTATGAGCTGGTGGACTATTTCCGCTGCAGGTTTTCCTACGGGACTATCTTAAGAATATCTTTCCTGGATGTCCTAGGTAGAATCGCCAAGATCGAGATTTTGGGTCATAAGAAGATATATTGGGATGATTCTTGCAAATGGATGACGTCTACCCAGTTCATTTTGTTTCTTTAATCTTAGAAAATTCTTATAGCTAAAAGTCCCCCGTCTCACATCACCCGGCCAGAAGACCCAGATACTGTTTTGCTTTTAGCAAATGCCACCTTGACACGGGAGCAAGAAGCCAGCAGGAAAAGTGACCTAAAGAAAGTGGAGAATCAGAAAAAGCATTTTCTCAAGAACCAGAGGCTGGAGGCCTATGGCGTGAGTCCATCGGCCCAGGAGTTGCTGGACCGGAGGACCAAAGGGGCAGCTGCCAATCCTCAGTTCACGCTGAGAGGCAACGGCGACTTTGTTAGCTCTGCTCTTCAAACCCCAAAGGTGTTTGGGGCCCATTTCAACGCAGAGTAGACGACCCGTTTGGGGAGCTGGGCTCACGGACCAGCTTTTGTAAATCTCTTCGGGTTTGTTCTTAACTTTGCGTGGGAGCACTATGACAGATGATGATAGCGCCTGTTTATGAGCAGGTACATGATTAACTCACGTAACCACCCGATAACCTAGGAGGTAGACACTATGGCCATGCCCACTTCTTGACTGAGGGACCTGAGACCCAGGCAGTGAGATGACTCGCCGAGGCCACACAGCTAGCAGTGGTGGCAGAGGGCTTCCCACCCACCACGCAACGCTGCTTCTGTTAAAAGCGAAGCGAGGTCAGTAAGCCAGCCAGCTGCGTGGGGACACAGGAGAGGACACAGCAGAGACTGAGCCTGTGACTGCCCGGCCTGCTCCTGCACGTGGTTGTCTTGCAAACTGCACAGCGGTGCCCCAGGGTGGCAGTGCTGACCTTGCTGCAGAGGGCCGGGCATTACTCTCGTGTCTAGTGGTTTAACCTCCCGCCTTGTTGACTCACGCTTCCCCGTATGAGCATCATAGAAGGAGAGGTTCCCATCTGTCACGCCATGTCCAGCTCAGCAGCTGGGGTGGGGGCTACCTCTCGAAGCCACTGAGGCTGTCTGACGCACGGTCCCTGGGAACGATACTTGGTCAGCTGAGCGCGGTCGAGCTCGGTTCCCAGCTCAGTCCCACTGCGTGCAGCCCACTTTGCTGTCCCATCATCACGTCCCCCCAATCACCATCACCATCACCATCGCCATCATCATCACCATCACATCACCATCATCACCATCACCACCATCACTATCACCACCATCACCATCACCACCATCGCCACCATCGCCACCATCACATCACCACCATCACCATCATCACCATCATCACCATCACATCATCACCATCACCATCACCATCACCACCATCACATCACCATCATCACCATCACCATCACCATCGCCATCATCATCACCATCACATCACCATCATCACCATCACCATCACCATCGCCATCATCATCACCATCACATCACCATCATCACCATCACCATCACCATCGCCATCATCATCACCATCACATCACCATCATCACCATCACCATCACCATCACCACTATCACCATCATCATCATCATCATCATCAATGCCATCATTGATACCATTCTCTCTTCTGCAAGTTTAATGTCCTCTGTCTCTTGGACCATCCCTGAGGGGAAGTGGTGTCACACCCTTGAGCAACCTGGCTGTCTTCCTTCCCTGTCCCTGTGACACTGCTGCGTGAGCCTGAGCCCCAAGCACCACGGCCAGCCTCCACATCCCTTCTCCCGACAGCTGTCAACGTGACATCACCCCTGGTGTCTATGGCTACCTGGCAGATGCCCACGTGGGGCCGTCTCGGGTGAACTCAGGCACTCGGGGACAGACTGCAGCCCGGGCATGTTTTTCATTGGAAAGTCCCAAATGGCCACACGATACTAGATTTTCTGTTCCTTTTGGGAAATGAGAAACTCCAGCTGCCCCAGGCCTGCCGCCTTGCATGGCAACAACTCTACTCCCTGGGGACGGGGCACGCCAGGGCCACCACCCACAGCAGGACAGGACCCACCCCGCCCCTGGGGTCTGGCTGAGGAGGGGGAATCCAGTCGGCACCCCCGAAGGAAAAGGGAGCCTTTGCGATGGGTCCGCTCAGAGGCCCCTTGTTTGGGTTGCTCAGCGGCACCGTGTGCGTTAGCAGCGCCCCTGCAGCTGTGCTCTCCAGCTAGCAACAGCACTCACCACTGCCCCTTCTAGAATGTTCCTGCCTGGTTCCCTGCAGAGGTTTGACTTCGGGACCCTTGAGTGGCACAGTTCAGCTTTGCAGAGTGTGGACGAGACATCTCGCCACCCTCTTGCTCCTTCAGAATGAATGCTCATGGGATGAGGGGTGCAGGGGTGCAATGGGCCCCCAAGGAGGAGTCCGTGAGGCTTGCTGCTGAAGGCTCTCTGGTTTTGTGGCTCCAGATGCAGTTACAACGAGGGGTCGCGGCGGTCAGCAGGACCCTGGCCTCCCAGCAAGCATGGATCTTCCACGGAAATGTGAGAGAGAACATGCTATTTGGAGAAAAGTATGATCGCCAAAGGTGACATCATCCGGGAAAGCATGAGGGTGCGATGCCCTTGGTAATGGCACACACAGGGATCGGCCCACGGTTCGTGCCTGTGCCCTCCAGGAGGACCTGGGCAGCCTCCCCCACGGAGACCTGATGGAGGTGAGTGGAGCCGGGTGCTCAGCCCACGGCCGCCCGAAAGCCCGGGGCCCCCCGCTCGGCTATCGGCCATTGACGTCCCAAGAGTGCGGGGAAAGCCAGGTCCTCCCCTCCGAGTTCTCCCTCCGGGTCTGTTCTGGGGGGTATTACAAGGGACTTGGCGCCAACTGCCCTTGTGTTGGGTTCAGCGTGCTCACTCCTGGGGCCACTTCTAACTGGCCTGTCGTCTGGGGGAGGGTTGTTGGCCGAGGCTGCTTCATCACCTCGAGGCCTGGCTTTTCCCGGACCTCATCTTCTCCCGGTTTTCACTCTGGGGCCCACAGGCTTCCAGATGCTTCTGGGTGCTTGGGCTGGACATCGCTCTTGTTACTTGAGAGAACAAGTGGAATGAGGCCGGCCTGGGGTCCGGTTTTGCGAGTTTGCAGAACAAAGCTGCTCAGATCCCTGGAGTGAGCTTGGGGCTCGGGGACCAGAGGGGCTTTGCCAGGAGCTCCCGAGGCCCGGACGCGTGTCCCCACACAGGCAGAAAAGGCCGTGGGCTGTGACAAGTCCCACACCCACGCCTCGCCTTCCCCGTCTGGAAAACGGGCTGGTGACACAGCCACCTGCTTCCCTCAGAGGGCCGGGGGGGGAGGGTGGGACTGCAAGACGAGAGGGGAGGTCGGGCCGTGAAGAGGTGAGCGGCTATTTCCAGGAAGAGGCTCGGTCAGAAAGTGTCCCAACTGGACATGTGAAGGCCAGGCTGTTCCCGCGCAGACTGTCGGGAAGGTGGGCAGGGAGCTGGGCAGCTAGTCCAGGGCGGGCAGAAGGCTGGAGCTGCCCAGCGTGTCCGGACTGCTGTCGCTAGCCCTTGGCGCCTGCCTCTCCCCCGACGTTCCACAGGACACACCACTGCTTTCAAGCTTCTGAACAAGAGCGTCAGAGGTGGATCCGACTCGGCGTTCGGGGTCCAGGGCACGGCCTCTGGCCTGCACTGCGGGGGTCTGTTCAGGCCAGCCGCCAGCTCCAGGGTCCTGCCCACCTCTCATCCCAAATGAAATGCCAAGGCTCCTGGCGGAAGTCTTTGATCTCGGGAGTGACATGGAAATGAAAGGGACTCGAATCAGAAAAGCAGAAGTGCTTTGGGCAAAAATTGTGGGACGCCATCATTACGCAGCCTGCTACGTGTTCCTGGCACAGACGGAGCTGGCGGAAACGCCTCCGGCCAGGGGTGCGGCCCGGGGGCAGGACCGCTGGGAGCCTCCTGCTCCTGGCCTAGAGGAGGTTGTGACAGAGCGGGCCGTCCCTGAGTCCCCGCTCCCCCAAACCTCGGCTGCAATGTGTTTGTCACTTTCACACCCCCGATCTCTAGGATCCGGCGTCTTAGCAGGCAGCTCATTTAGGAAGCAGCAGCCAAGGAAGATTTAATGGGCTTCGCAGTGACAAGCAAAGGCTCCCTGTGTACTCCGGAGACCTGTGGGCACGAGATCACTGCGTGCAGCTGGGGCCATTTTGCCCCCTACAGGGCACTCGTCACAGCTGGGGTTGGGGGCAGAGGCCCGGGAGGCTGAGTGTCCTTTAACGCACAGGGCGGCCCCCACGGGGACGCATGATCGGGCAGCCAGGGACAAGTCACGACACCGGCCAGGAGGAGGCCTCGTGTGTGCTGAGCCCGGGGCGCTGAGTGTGCCGTGCCGGTCGGCCCGGCGTCCCCCGTGCTCTCCCGAAGCAGAAGGAAGTTCACTGTCGCCTGCCGCGCCGCCTCTGCCGTCCTTGGAGTCCTACGATGACGTCGTTTTGCTGGAAGGGGGAGAGATCTGTGGGAGGGGGCCCCACAGGGAGCTGCTGGAGGAGCGGGGGTGCTAGGCCAGGCTGGCTCACCACCTCCGCGGGCTGCAGTTCAAGGCGCCCGGTGCCTGGGGGGGAGGGGTCACGGCCGCCCCCCTGACCTGCAGCCCGGCGGAAGGCCTGTCCCTCGCCTTCGGAAGGCTTTTCGTTCTGTCTCCAGGATCCCGAGCACAGCTGCAAGGTGGCGACGGTGGCAGCCCTGAAGGACAGCACCGTGGCCAGAGACGGAGGCGCGGGCACCGCCGGAGCCCCAGCCCCTCGTCGCCCACGGCGCGTGAGCGGACACGGAGCGCTCTGTATTTCCCGCCCTAGTGTGGGCTCCGGGAGACGAGGAAGCGGAAGGAAAAGAAGCTGACAGAATCGGAGTTTGCAGACGTCAGAGGTATTTGCCATCGTCCCATTCGAAGACTCCTAAGCATTTGGGGAGCGTGCCACCTGGATGGCCAGGCCGAGCACGGTGCATGTCCTTCGGGGTGGCTGGAATTATGTGGTTTACTACAGTGTCAGCCTCGAGGGGCCGAGTCCGACCATTCACCAGTTTTGTGACTTGGCCACTTTTAGTTTCTCAGTCTGTAAAATGGGGACATAATAGTTCCGACCTCCTAGATTCTTGAAAGATTACGAAAGGAACCACACATAAAATGATCAGCATGGAGCCTGGCATATAGTCACCCTCAATAGTTGTTGCTTTGTTATTATTATTATTATTATTATTATTATTAATTATATGAAAAGATCAGAGCCATGTGCAGAGATGAACAAGATTAATCAGAGGCAGAAGCAGGCGGGGGGCCCACCTCGCGGCGTTGAGGAAGGTCACGCAGCAACAAAGGGGTTGCAGTGAGATGAGGTCATTCATTCTCTCGACAAATAAGAGCCAGGCGGTCTCCCGTGTGCCAGGCACGAAGCTGGCCTGGGGACAGGAGGAAAAACACCCGTCCCGATGGCCTGCTGGGTCACAGGCCAGTGGGGATCACGGACACCGTGAGGAGCGTCACGGGAGCTGCGGAGGGACAAGTCAGGGAGGGCTTCACGGAGGGGGTGACATTGGGAGCTTGCAGGGGACACCTGTGAGGCAGGGAGGGGAGGGCCTGGGTGGAGGGCGAGGGGTCCCCGGGAAAACAGCAAGGAAGGGTGTGAGAGGTGAGCCGAGGGGGCCGGGCTGCTCAAGCTGCACCCCCGTGTCCTAGACGCTGCCCCCTGCCTTGCCCTCACCCACCCCGCACTGTGCCCGGCCTGTGTGGGCAAGGACAGGCCCCCCAGTCTTCCCTCAAAGCGGCCGAGCTCAGGAGCCGCCTTCCTCAGGATGTGTCCTCAGATATCAGATGCCATCCGTCATTCTAAGATCTCTGTCGTCCGTGTGCTTCTGGACTTAGAAAGACAAGTCCCAGCCAGCCAGGCGACGTGGCACACTACCGAGTGGAAGGCACATCTGAATTCAGAGGCGTTAAAATGTGAAAAAAATAAAATAAAAATGTCTCTGAATGGAGATTTGGCACCGGCAATGGTGCTTGTGACAAACGCGCGCATGCTGGGAAGGACAGCCTATTTTTATGGCTCTGCTGAGCCCGACACGAGGGGCCCAGCCACCTCTCCCTGCTTTCCCGAGAGAGCTCCAGGCTGTGCGGGACGGGGGGTTCTGCGGTGAGAGCGAAGCCAGAGCCTCTTTTCCTCGTCGCCCCTTCTCTGGAGAGCCACGTGGAATCAGGAACTTCAACGGTCTGGAAGCTGCAGGCGGGGACCCGTTAAAGACGGCGCTGCCCGCCACAGCCTGACGCCGGGGACTGAACGGAGCACCAGCCCAGCGCCACCTCCGGCTGGGCGGGCGGGCTGCAGGGGCTGCCCCCGGGCCCTTCTGCGCCCCAGGCTGCCGTCCCTTAGGCTGTGCCCCCCCGCCAAGGTGGCTCCCTCCCCAGGGGAGACACAGTGAGAGAGAGTCAGGCCGGACGTGTCCGGAGAACTGCGCAGCCTCCCGGGCCGAGGGTGTGACGATGGGTCTATTGGTGGCGGTGCCTTGGAGGTGTGCGGGCTGTCCCCGTCGGGCGGGGTGCAGGGGCTCCCCAGTCTAGCCCCACTTGCCTCTGTTTAAGAGTCGAGTACATTTCAGGGTTCTGCCGTGGGGCTGGCGTGCCCCTTTCTCCGGAGGAGAGGGATAAGAGCGTGCCCCGGCTGTGGCCAGCATCCCACGAGAGCGCCACCTCCACGAGAGCGTGACAGGCATCTCCCAGGGGACACCCGGACTCGTCCCATCAGCCCTGGGGCAGCACGGGGAGGCAGATCAGCCTGGGTGTCCTTTGCACGGCCCAAGCTCGAAGAGGCCAGGGGCCACCTTCCTGTCCACCCTGCAGTAGATGCCGCGGGCACACAGCGGACTCCCGGCCGCCACCTGGGTACCCTCCGGTCGCCGCCAGCCGAGGCCGAGCCGGAGGTGCTGGGAACGAAACCCGGGAGCAGCCCTCCCCCAGCGGCCAGTGCGACCACGTGACGGTCCGGCCCTGGCTCGCGGTGTCTCTGTGGGATGAAGATGCGACTGGCTTGACGGGCACCTGGTGTTTCGCCCCCGCGTCCCTCCCCTCCTCCCTGCGTGTCTTCATAGCCTGTCTTGGGATCTGCTGCTGGACAACCGGACCGAGACAACCTGTCTCCCAAGAGCTGAGCACACAGTAGGTGCTTCGTAAATGTTTCTCCAAAGACCGAAAGCCTTAACCCGCCTTACAGGCTGTAATGAGGACCAGACAAAATAAAATGAGCAAAAGCATGCTGGGAATTTGAAAGCACAGGGCAAAGGGCAGGAAGGACCACTGCCCCGAGGAGGGTGTGTGTATGCGTGCGTGTGTGTGCATATGTGTGTGTGCATGCGTGTGTGCGCGTGTATGCATGCGTGTGTGCGCGTGCGTGTGCGCGTGTGTGCGTGTGCACACGTGTGTGTGCATGTGTGCATGTGTGTGGCTTGTGTGCAGGAGCTCGGTGTGTCCGAGGAACTCAGAAGTCCATGTGGCTCGAGCAGGGTGGGGGACGAGGCGGGAGGGGCTGGCAGGGCCGACGACGGGGCAGGGACACTGTGTCCTGAGGAAGAGTGTCTCGGGCAGCGGGGACACCAGATGGTCCTTTGGGGACGGGGGAGGTGTTAGCAGCCTTCCTGCTCTCTAGCCGGGAGGCGCCCGCAGAGCCTCCCTCCTCCAAGTCGGGGACAACCAAGCCATCCCTGACATCAGCAGATGTCCCCCGGGGGCGCGAGCCGGCAGTAGAGAGCCACTGCTCTTAGAGAAGCGGGCGCCAGCGAGGGCGCCTGCCGAGGGGCGCGCTCTGGTCTGCACCTCATCCGGCTGTGGGGCCACATCCCTCGCCCGCCAAGGCCATGCGCTGCTGCCCAGCGCTGTCTCAGCCGGGACTGCCGGCCGAGCCCCTGGCCTGAGGGCTTCAGGACACGCGGCCTTCCTCCAGAGCCCCAGCTGTGGGGCTGCGGTCGCTCCCGGCCCTGGCCATGCGTTCTGCCGTATTTCGTGTCACCCTGTTCCACTGACATTCGTATCGTCCCTTGAAACAGCTGTGTCCCCTCCCGCCACCCCACTAGAATGAGGCCCCACGAGTGCGAGGGTCTGACCATCACATTCACCCCCCAGGAAACCAGCCACAGGTCCTGGCCAGGTCACCGCTCACCCCTGACCTGCCTCTAGCCCACCAGCCCTCATGACTGAGGCAGGTGCCGTGGGCCTTTGAGGGCAGGCAAGCTAGCCCCCGACTGCTGTGCGGAGGGGCTCGGTCCCAGCCCCTGGCAGGCCTTGGGTCCTCACAGCGGAGGGTGGCCCCAGCGATGGCGAAGGGGACTTAGTGGAGGTGCGGCCCAGCCTCCTTGGGACAGCTCAGGTGAGCCCCAAGCCTCTCCCAGAGCTGCAGCGGGTGGGAGCTTCCAGTGCCCACGACCCGACCTCTCACGACTCACTTTTCTACTGGTGCTTCGTGGGGCCACCTCCTGGATGCTTCCCAGGGCCTCTGAAACAAATTAGCATAAGCTTAAAACTCGGCTTAAAACCAGAAAAACCATCTTCTCACGGTTTCGGAGGCCAGAAGTCCACAGTCAAGGCGTCTTCCCCCCGAGGGCTCTGCGGAGAATCTGCCCCTCCCTCTCCTGGCTCCCGGAGGCTGCGGCCCCCTGGGCGACCCTCGGCCTGCATGACCGTCACCTCCACCTCCGCGCTGCCTGCTCTCGGTCTCCGTGTCTCCTCCTCCCGTCTCTCTCTGATCAGGACACTTGTCACTGGATTAGGACCCAGCTGGCTAATCCGGGATGGTCTCGAGACCCTTAGTTACATGTGCAAAGATCCACTTCCAAGGGAGGCAGCATTCATAGGCCCCGGGATTTCGATGAGACCCACCTTGTGGGGGGACCCCCGAGCACCCTGCCCTAACACAGGGCTGGCACTCAACTCTCAGGGCTGGCTTCCGGAGGATCCTGGACTGAGGTGGGCGACCTTATCAAGCCACCCACCCCCAGTCTGGACCTGGACTGTCTCACGCTGGTGGCCTTGACGGTTTCCTCCACCTCTGATCTGTGGCCACTGGATGTCGGGGGTGTGGCTCCGGGCAGGTGCAGCGGGGAGACCGGGAGAGGTGCAGCACCCCACCAGGGGGCAGCACGGGCGGGTGGCAGTAGTTGTGCAGCCTGGGGGGATCCCCCACACCCACTGCAGGAGTCACGTGACCAAGCGGGCCCCTGGGCCTATCGTCACCATCCGGAGTGCCACGGAAAAGTGTCACTGTCATTTGGTTCTAATTGGAAGGAAGCATTGAAAGATAAAACCCCCGACGGCAACAGCTGCAGGTCCGGGACACAGGCCTGCGGTTCGCGGGGTCCTGGGTGACAGCTGGGGCGGCCCAGGCGGGGCGGGGCTCTCACCCAGGCTGCTCCAGGTGTGCGTGCTCCAGGTGTCCGAGACCCAGGCTAAGGTCACGTCGGCGGAGCTTCTTCGGGACTACCTCTTGGTAAGGAGTTCGTGCCCGCAGGGGCTACCGCCTCTGGCAGAATTCCTGCTCATCCGATCTTCCCACCGGTCAAAGGGACCTTTTTAAAAAGTGAGCTCAGACCACGGGCCCCCCACCCCCTTTACTGCTGAGGGAGAGGTTCTTTTTTAAAAAAGAAACGAAGGACAACAAAATCCTGATTTCCCCAAGGCAGTTTCTGTACACGGAAGAGAATTCGGCGGCTTGCTGTAGTTCCTAAAAGTTAGTATTTGGTTGACGAAAATTATAAATTGAAAAAAAAAACAGTCTACCTCTTCTTTAAAAGTGTTTATGTTCGACTTGCAAATCCTGCTAGACAAGCCTGGCCAACTGAAGTCATCACTTTTAAAGGCCTTTGAATAGGTTCGGCCCTATTTACAAACTTTATTAAACACTTTAAAACATTTTAATTGTTTCCTTTTTAAGTATCTCGATTATCTGATTTAATAAACAAACCCTCCTGAGGTTACATAAATCTAATAAATGAAATTTATAGATATAGTGGGCTTTAAGTTTACGTAACAATCCCAGTGCTGTATCTCAACAGGAAGCATTTAACTTAAAATCGTGTTTAAATAAATTACTCGATTATAATTTCAAATTAGAATCACAAGCCCGAATTTTATTAATATTGTGAATCCTTAAGACTAAATATGTAGATTCCTTAAACTAAAAATATTACTGTTACAATTTTGCTTTTCTTAAATATTTTTATTATTAATTCTCAAACTCCTAGGGGTTAAAAATACTCACTGTCTAAAAATATGATTTTTTTTTTTTGGCTAATTGTGGCTGCTTATCGACCAGAGCTTCGGGCTGGTCGGCCACCCTAGTGAGGCTCAGGGGGCCCTATTTCTCGTCACTAACGGGGCCTTCATAACTGGGTAATCTAGCCACGTTGCTCTACGCCTTAATCAGACTTTGCATTTCTTGGGCTCTTTGCAAACTTAATGTCCTTCCCACGGTACTCTAAAAGACTCTGAACTTGGCATCCTCCATTCTTGTCATCTTCCAGCTTCTAACCACCACGCTGACTCCTGCAGATGGAGAAACCGTATCTGGTTAAATTCTGTGCATCTCAAGGCTTGTTTCAGATTTGTTACACAGCTTTAAGGTCACACTGCTGACACCTGCCCAGGCCCTCGAGGCTCAGCGTGAGCTGTCCCTTATCGTCGTCCGTCATTCACTAAGCCCCAGCAACGTGTGGGGACTTTCCATTCCTCCAAGTGCCCAAGCTCGTTCTGGCCTCGAGGCCTGTGCACTAGCTATCCGCTCTGCCTGGAAGGCTCTGGGCTCGAATCTTCTTGTAGCCAGCATCTCGCCAGCATGCCAGGTCTCGGCTGGAACGTCACAGCCTCACAGCTGCCTTCCTGAGCCCTTCAGTTACCCTTACTCCCTGTCCCTGCTACCACGGGCATTCCGTATTTCGTGACGACACTCTGTTTTATTATCTTCATTTCTGATTTCCTTTCTTGTTCGTCATCTGACTTTCCCTCCGGAATGTGAGTGGCGTGAGCACAGGGTCCTTGCTGGTCTAGATCACGGGCACGGACACCAGTGCCTAGAACTGTGTGACTGTGTGACTGAATGGAACGGAAACGGGAATGAGCATTCACCCGACCTCGGTCCTTCTGCCTTTCAGACCTGTGCCCCTGAATGCACTTACCCCTTGGAGTGGGGCCACATCCCCACGCCTGCCCCAGCTGTGGGGAGATAATGTTCAGAGACTATCAGATGAGGTACAGAGACAACACCCCGCTTGTTCTCGATGAGCTGAACTTGAACATCCAAAGCCGGGGAGACAGCTGGCATTGTGGGAAGAACAGGTTCTGGCGAGGACAGGCTCCGATGGCGTTTCTTCCGGGCTGTCCTCGCGTGTCTGCTGGCCTGCTCGTTAGGCCACACGGGAGGGTGACGTGCACGTGGGGCCGACCGGCCGTGCTCCTCCCTCCAATCTCTTGACTGTAAATTAGGGTTTCGGGTTGAATGGGGTGTGGAGTTGGAAGCAAACACGCGCCCATTTTTGAATTAATTAAACGAGAATCATTCTGGTGAAACGAGGCCCAGAGGATGAGTCGCGAGACAACAGCCACCGCGGGGAGCAGCGGGTGAACCCCGTTAGGGCCCCTGAAACACACGCAGAGCGAGACATTTGTCTGCACGGCCGTCCCCTCCCCACAGAGCCACGCTCACTGCATTGAAAACTCCCTTGGGTAGACGCTTGGCCGGGAGGGACGTGTAAACTGACGTTTGGTTTGCCGTCCTTCATCGTCCCCGGAAAAGTCGTCGCTAGGGACAGCCTTGTTTCATGTGGTGGAGCCGGCCAGCGGCACCATCTTCGTCGACGACGTGGCTATCCGCACGGCTGGTGTGGCAGACCTGAGAACCAAGCTGACCCCGGCACCCTGTCCTGTGTGTAGGTACAGTAAGGTCGCTGTTCTCGATGGTCATGCATTCCTATTTTTGGGTCGCGGAATCAGATCGCCGGGGGGCCTTGCGGAGCGCCCACGTGCGGCTGACCCGGGGCTCCCATTTGAGGGGGCAGCGTGCCGAGGTGCTGGCGCCTGGCCCCGAGCGAAGCCTTGGGAGTTGCTGAGGACCAGGGCTCTGAGTATTATTTATGTTGTGCGAGCTACTTTACTTTACTAAAAGGCAACATGCTGATACGTAGGTGAGCAGGTGTTCCGGCTGGCCCTGCTGGACAGCCCTGGTTTGTGCCTGTGTCTCGGCGTCCCCTTAGACTTAGCGACAGTTGCCCTCAAAGGTGCCCCAGTGTGGGCAGTAAAATAACTGATTATCCGACGGACGCAGCCATCTATCGAGAAGTTCATCTCTTCGTTTCCACTAAAGAGTGAACAGAAGCTATTCAAGTTCAAGAACAGTTGGGTTGCCCCTTTGGTAGGGCTCAAGGCCGGATGCCGAGGTGCAGGGCGAGAGCCAGCTTCTCCCCTGGCCCAGTGCAGCGGCTGAGCCGCCATGAGAGGGTCATCGTTCTCACTGAGAGGCAGGGGAAGAGGGGCTGGGTGTCCACTTGTGTGGACAGTAAGGTCCGTGTCCTGAAACGCTGGCCTCCCACCCGCCAGCGAGCCGCCCGCCTTCTGCGAGGCCCTGGGAGCCGCAGACGTATCTCTGGCTGCTGAAGGCAGAGTGAACGCGAGGGGAGACCGAACTGCTCGCCCTCCTGTCTCGCTGCCAAGAATTCGCAGAGAAGGTCAAATCCACTCGGCTGCCCATGGCTGCAGAGAGGACGAAAGGTGTCTTCCTGAGCGCCCGGCCCGGTGCTGGGTCCGGGCAGCCTTTCACGTATCCCTGTCCGCCTCGGCGGCCCTGTGCCGTCCGTCACAGAGCTGTCTCGGTGACTCGGTCTCTCGGCCTGAGGTTGACATTTACGGACCACTGTCCTGGGTCATCGCACACTACCTCCTGCAGCAAACCTGCTCCCCCAAACTCTCGTCCCCCGAAATCCAGCTCCTTCTCGCTTCCTTCATTGCAGGTACAACCTGGACCCCTTTGAGCATCACACGGATTAGATGCTCTGGCAGGTTCTGGAGAGAACGTCCGGGAGAGACGTGGTAGGTCTCGGGGGCTGCCCAGGATGTCTGCTTCCCAGCGCCCGTGCCCCAGACACCCGGCCCAGGTTAAAATCCACGAGCACCGGGCCGGCATTTGCCCAGCTTGATCCACTGGCGACGTGTCAGGAGAACACAACTCTGTTTGTGCTTTATGAATCAAAGCGGCAACAGACACTATTTATCGAGCCTGTGCAATGGTTCAGCCGAGACGTCCACGTGCGTTGTCGCGCCTGGTCCTGACTGCAGCCTCTGAGGTGGGTACGCCTACCTCCAGCTTCAGAGATGCAGAAACGAAGACTCGGAGAAGTGCCACATGCGGGCGAGTGAATGTCAGAATGTAGACGCGAACCCGCGTCCCTCCGACTCGAGCAGGCGGCCTGCTCTGCCAACAGCCCCATTTGCCTTTTGTAAGAGAGAAGCCGTGGGCGGTGGGGGGCAGGGCATGCTCCAGGAATGC